ATTCATGAAAGGAATCATATAATATGTAAATATCAGTTAAAGTAGATGATTTTCCCATGGGTGTAGTGAACCTGCTTCTGGTCTGTTCAGAGGCAGCAACGTTCACGTTCATTCAGAGTTTCTGTTCTCTATATTTAGTTTTATTTTATTGGGTCTTTTTCATACCAGTGCTGCATCTATATGTGTAACTAATTATCTATATAACACCGGTGTGCTCTCCTTTCTGTTCCACTAGTTATAATTTTGATAGCTGCTTATAATTCCTGTCTCTATAAATTACATCTGACTGTATGTTAAAGCTAAACTGCAGCACCAGAACCGTGTTTAATATTCAACATGAGGTGATGTAGCGTCTGAACGGCAGCCATTGATCCTGTGTGTGGAGTTAATGAACAACCAGCTGTGTCTGTAGACAACGTTTCTTTAAAAGCTTCCCAGACTGCTCGTGAAAACTGGGTAGCTTCACTGCTGTTTCCAATGTGGCATTCATTTCATGACAGTGTCCTTCCTTAGATCAGTTTGCTCAACGTGATTATCGATTCGTAACACAGCGACGGTTTATTCTACCGAACAAGTACAATGCAGAAGACAGTCATGTGCAGAGCCATGGTCAGGTGGAATCTATTACAGCTGTATTTAGTTCAAGAGGATAGTAAAGATAGGCTCAAAATTCTGTTGAAACAAAATTTACAAGTTTTTAAGGAGGTACAGACAAGGAAAATGGTGTTTAAAATTAAATGTAAAGCTGGTGAGAGCAAAGAATGTAAAATGTACTTTTGCCCTATTTTCTTGGATTTCAATGAGTTGAAGAACATGATGGATAAATATGTTATTTAAGGTCATTCTGATTATATGTTTATTATGAAGAATTATGAATTGTTTGTATCTATGAAAGAATCAAGTTCCTATGAGTTCCAGATTACTGATGATGGATTTATAGTTCTGAGTATGATTTAATGAATGCTGTACTGAATGACAATATGTTCCTCTACCTTATTTTACTTAATTGTAAAGTTAACGAGCTGAGCTGTTGTGTTTGTTGTGTGTATAAGTGTGACTGCGTATGTGTGTGGACCCCAGGAAGAATGCTTATGCTGGTGCTAATGGGGATCCTAATAAACAAAACGAAAGATGATGTTTTATGATCAGAGTCCTGGGAGGTGTTTTACAGTGACTGTACTGTTCAGGTGAGCTTTGATTCCTGCAACAACCAAACTCTGCTGCTAGCTAGTAATCACAGGCATTACTCACACGACACACAACCTAGACTTTATAGGTCAGGCGGTCACAACACAAAGTCTTATGCACAAGAACGTAAACCAGAAGTCGGAAGGCCGATAAAATATGACACCAAACCTGATAGGATGCTGGTCGACTACAGGACGCTGCGTCATGTTTTGTCTTCCTGAGGCGTAAAAACAACACACGTGTATGAATATTCCAGAGATAACCAGAAATTAGCAGCCTGGACTAGTTTAGCATCTTGTTTGCTGTGGCTGGTTGGGTCGGCCACCAATCACAGGACTGACATGTTGATCTCCAGCCTGGCTCCTCCAGATGGACTGAATCCTCCAAGTCAGTACACTGATAGATGGTTATAGTCACGGTTAATGCAACAGTAATTTGTGCATTTTAGTTGGAGACGCAGATTTCTTCACAATTTCTCTGGAAAAAACAAAACTGTTTTGGTTTGATTTTGTATTTTGCGCTGAGATTGCACAAATTGTGACACTGAAAGGGTTTATTCAGCAAACTTCTGTAAAAAAAAACAAAAAAAAAAACAAACAGTAAAATCAAGCAGCAGGAGAAATAATAGTTAAAAAGTGATAGAAGATTGTAACATTTAAAAACTAAAATAAAGGCAAATACAGGTCATATAATATCATTTTTAAATATCATAAAAGTGTGAATAAGTCTGTAAAAATACAGATTGTTGATGTAAATATTTATCACAGTTTTGATCTTTTTTTTGCAATTAACATGCAAATTAAAAAGTGTACTTTATGAAACTGTAGTCAACGGGCAGGTCTGTTATATATGTGGTTGAGTTTGTAACCACAGACCTGGACACTTGTCAGCATTTACTTTTCTTTTTTCTTTTGATATTTATTAAAGGAAACAACCATGACTTAACTTTGACTAAAGCTGTTCCTTGTATTTACTTTAAATTACAACAAGAATCGTCTCTGGAGCACTTCAACCCTTCAACAGTGTTTAAAAGTCCAACAACATGCTGGTTGTGTTTCTTAAATGAGTTCATTCAGTCATTTCATCACTTTAAGTGAAAACCTTTCAGAAAAACTCTCGTTTTCGGCCTGAAAATAAGAACTAGAGATTTCTACCTTGGATTTATTTGAAATTATAGAAAATAGGGCGCTGTGATGGCTCACCTAGTAGAGCTGGCGTCCCATGTACAGGGGCTAAAGTCCCTGATGCAGTGGTAGGGAGTTCAAGTCTGGCTCATGACCCTTTGCTGCAGGTCCTTCCCCCATTCTTCTCCCCTACTTTTCACTTTCCCGTCTCTCTCTTCACTGTACTATCAAATAAAGGCCAAAAAATAACTTCAAAAAAAAGAAATTATAAAACAAGGTTTTTACTCCCGCTGACAGATTTCGGTGGCGGGTTCAACAAGCTTGGAGGACAATGTCAGGTGTTTGAGGCCTTGTGCAGGTTAAGGTAAAGCTTCATTTATTGCTCTTTTCTGAAGTTAAACGTTAGAAATATCTTAATGATGCTGATGAGGTCTAAGCAGAGCGTTTCCTGTGTCTCTCACTAGTATCTTCTAAACTTTCCAGTTTTTGGAAAAGGACATGAGTGACTGATTTACCAGAGTCACTGCAGATTGGTGTCCTGTCGGTCCTGTTTTGTATAGGACAGTATAAGATGTCTGCTGCTGGGTTAATTAGTTGATTAATCTATTAGTTGAAACTGAAACAGTTTTAATAACTGACTAATCATTTTATTCTCTCTTCAGTCAAAAAACCCTCAACCTGCTCTGGTTGCAGCTTTGGGTCTTTGCTGCTTGTGTCATCATTCTGTGACTCTGGAGAGAAGATGCAAAACTTAGCTGCCTGAATGCCGACCAGAACCAGAACGTCTGCTGATTGCCATCAACCTTTTCATTTATCTTTAAAGCAGATCAGAGAAGTGCAGCTGTTTACTAATCTGACTTGTTACCAGGACGGTCTCTTATGTCTTCTGACACTCAAAAACTTTACCTTCGATGCTCTGAGCAGCTGCTGATGTTAACATTTTCAAAAAACCAGCCTCCTCAACCTGGCTTTTGATTAGATCATTTTATGGTCGTTATCTATTTTATTTAATCATTTAGTTTTTGTTTTCAGAGTTTAAAAATGTTCTGTCCCTTCTCATCTGTTATCATCATGACCCTTTGTTCATTTATTTGTACTTTTAAATTATTGTCCTTTTAATTCTTATCATTGGTTTTATTACCTTTGTCATTGTCTATTTAAAGCAGTCTGAGTTGCAGTAACCTGCTCCAGTCTGACTGATTGATCCTCATTAATGATAACTAACATGATCCACAGGCCACAGCTTCTTCATGTCATCACATTGTGGAGCATCTTTCTGCATGTATTCACATATTAATGAGGAACACTGATTTAAAACTTCAAGCTAACAAGTCCACATTAGATTTCACGTCTGCAAACATGTTGAAAAATATTTGTTATTTAATGAGATAACGGTGAGGAATGTAGCTTTCTTGGACAGTCGTTTTTCACTTTTGATTTTATTTAGTTTTTAAAAACTAAACCATTAATCAAGAAAATAATCTGGACTTTTTTTATTGCAGTTCTAGTAGTATTTATAATTTAGGGCTAAACGTAGGGAACATATGACATTTTTATTTTTATAAAAATAATTAATCGACCTACAAAGTAGATGCAGATCAGTTTCATATGTAGATCATAGCCACAAACAACAATGCCATATGACTATTTTTATATAAAATTATTCTTATGTACACATATATCAAACAGAAGACATACAGTTTAAGAAATACTTCCCTACAGGGCCTTTATCATACCAAGGACTTACAATTTAATGGCAGCAAACATCTCAATTAGACAAATATGTTTATGAAATCTGCTCAAACTGACCGTCCTGAGCATCATATTTTGAAACCAGAATCTCCCAGAATGCTCAATAATCCACTTTGATTTGATCTGCACGGCACAAAATCACAACATAAACCATCTCAAGTCACTTTAAGGTCAAGACTTGAGAGAAATAACTGTGTCTGAATGTGAGCAGCTGACCTGTGAAGACGGTTATCTGCTGATAAAGATCCTTCTGTCTGATGTTAATGTGCTCTAAGAGGAGAACACTTCACCTTCTCACCAGCTATTGTTCATATTGTTCTCTGCTTTTATCTGCCTGCGTGACCCTGCAGGTGATAATTAAACTATTTAGTGTTACACAAAGCCTTTATCTCAGTAAACACACTGGGCCCGACCACGCTGAGTGAATGTTGTTTTGAATGGATCTCATTTACACTTTCTTCATTTAAAGTCAAACTCAAATTTCAGGAAAATGGAGTAAAAATGAGGTTTACTGTGCTCCTTTTAAACTGTTTTTGCTTCAACTTGCTGCTATTTTCCTCCAGTAAGATTAGACAGTAAAGAAAAGGCAAGAAGAGCAAATTTAACGACTAAACCATGTTTTACATTTTATGTTTGGGTTAAGAAAATATTTAAACACTTGAAAAATCTCATTGACTTTCCTCTAAATTAAGTTGCAGCAATGCAAACCGTACATCCAACTTTAAACAGTGTCACCAATTGAAGCAACCCAATTTATATTCTCTTTTTTCAGGTTTTTATCAGTTATTTGTTTTGTTTTTTTCTTGAGCACCCAAATATGTAATTTTTTTTTTTTTTTTACATTATTCTTTTAATTAACACAAACCCTACACAGAGCTCAGAGCTGTGAGCAGTTAAAACCTGTAAAAACAACACAACCACGTTTTCTAGGGAATCTTTTTATCTGATGCAGGTCCAGAACACACACATGAGGGACGGCTTGTGGAAAACAGTTTGCAAATCCTTCAGGCCTCAGAACCAAACAGAAGAAGGGCCTCTGAGATATTTACAAATGTACAGACCAGAGTGTTCCTCCACTTCAGGAGGCTTCAGGAGTTCAGGATGGGCCTGATGCTGCTGCCGGTGCTGCTGCTGTACACTCCGTGGTGCTGGTAGTAGCTGCTGCTGTCGCTGTGCGCCGGATCCAGGCCGCTTTTGGCGGCCATCAGAGCCCCGGACACCGGACAGCCGTAGCCTCCGTACTGCACCACGGGCTCCAGTTTGTGGTGCTGCGGCTCGGACATGAGGTTGTTGATGGAGAACGGGTGGTTGAAGGGGTAGTGGTGGTGGTGGTAGTGGTCCGGCTTCAGGTGCGCGGCCTCCGGCAGCAGCAGCGGGTGGTGGTGGGGGTGAGGCAGCAGGTGCTGGGGGTGAGACAGCGGGGAGGCCAGCGCCGGTTTGACCCCCTTCACCTCCGGGGCCGGCGGGGAGGACGGGGACGGGGAGTGCGGGGAGTCCGAACCGGAGCTGCTGCCGGTGACCGAGCCGCCCTCCGAGCCCGGCTTCCCCGCCGCCTCCCCCCTCTCACCGGCGCCGGGCTTCTTCCCGCACTTGAAGCGCTTCTGCCGCCGGAGGTAGCAGCCGTTCTCGAACATGTTCCCGGAGTCCGGGTGCAGGGCCCAGAAGGAGCCCTTGCCCGGTTTGTCCGGTGACCGCGGCACCTTGATGAAGCAGTCGTTGAAGGAGAGCGAGTGCCGGATGGAGTTCTGCCAGCGCTGCTGGTTCTGCCGGTAGAACGGGAACAGGTCCATGATCCACTGGTAGATCTCGTTCAGCGTCAGCATCTTGCTGCCGGACTGCTGGATGGCCATGGTGATCAGGGAGATGTACGAGTACGGCGGCTTGGCGTGCGTGTAGCTCCGCCGGTACGGCTTGGACTCCCGGGGTCTGATGCTGCAGGCCTGTCCGTACACCGGGCTCATCACCGGCATGTTCCCGTACGGCGGCGGGCTCATGGGGCTCATGCTCGGGGGCAGCGCGGCGCCCAGGCCCGCCATCCCGGCCCCGGGCTGCACCGCGGCCCCGGGGCCCTGCGGCGGCATCCCGGCGGGCACCGGGGCGCTGCTGACCCCGTAGTGCGCGTTCATGTGGCCGCTGCCGCTCATGCCAGGCGCGCTCATGTAGCCGCTCATGGAGTTCATGTTGCCCGCTGAGGGGTAACACTGGAACACAGGGGCAGTTAGTTAGACCGCTGCACAGGTTTTTATATCAGCTATAAATATACAAAAAGCTTTTGAAAAATATCACGACTTTAATTTTTAAAAATCAAAAATCGCAGCAGCAGAATGAGGCCTGCATGAAGTCAGATCAACAGAAATAACCAGAACATCATCAGTTAATGTCTGAAGTTAAATCATACCAAACAATAATGATTTTAACTTGTTTCAAATGTATTTTCACATTATCCTGCTGATTATTTTAATTAAATTAATCATTCTAAGTTATTCAAAAATGTCTGGAAACTACACATGTATGCTGGAGGTTTGTCTTCAATAATACACTTTAATGATAAACTGATTATCCTAAATATTTGCTGATCAATTTCCTGATTAACAACAACTTGATTAAACATCTTGATTTTCACTTTACTGTAACAAACCTGGATTCAGTCCAGATGTCATTTTTAATGCAACAATAATACACAATACTACAATCCATGTATTTATTTCCAATTCCTGTTTCCATTATTTCTGTTTATCTCCAGCATCATTTGTAGTGATTCTCTGTTGACATTATCCAATTGGATTTAGTAATTAATTAATGTAACCATAATAAAGCAGATCTCCTTCTATCTGAGGAGAAGCATCTTAAATCTCAAACCTTCTCATTTTCCTCCTTTAAGGATGTGTTATCTGACTACAACTCATCATTTTTATTCCTTCACATATAAACTCAGGCCCGTGCACCTTTATTAGCCTCAGTAATAAATTAAAGACATATTATTTCACCCTATACATCGAGCTCAGTTAACAGGGGTTTGAGGAAGTCATCTAACTCAAAGGGCAACAAGAAAATATTTCATTTAGTGCATCCCTATACACGCAAGAATAACCCAATTCTCTCCAGAAAACATCCATGAAAATCTGTTGTGAATCTTTTTTTTCTCTCTTATGTAGATTTATTCCTAATTTATTTTTTGATCTTATTGATTTAAATTGTTGTGTGAAATCCACTGAGCACTGTGTGGAAGCTGTGGGCATCCAAATAAAGAGCAATAACTGTAATAAAGGATAATAGATCATTAACCTATAGGAGCACTGCCTTTTTGTTTTACAACATGAATGCTGCTTCAAAGCTCTCTGGAACAGATAATTAAATTCTTATTGTATAAAAACATCCTAGTGTTGCTAAATCCCCTAAATTCCCAGAAAAATCAAAGAGCATGATGTCCTCACCACAGCCTTTATAATCATCATTATTACCATTAATGCTGGAAATCTTCAGCAATGATCATGATGCTGCTTGATTTTTAGTTTTCTTGTTTCTTGACATCCACTTAATCCTTTTTTTACTACAACAATTGTAAAATACAACATTTAAAGCAGGTTGCATTTAAAAACTCTTGCTGCAGTTTAGTCACTGAGCCACATCTACAACCTGAAAATCAAAGTCTTGCATTCTTATTTCCAGAACAAACAAGGTCTCCAGCTCATAATATCTGGTGCACATATAGTTGCTCAGTTTCACCTTGATGAGAAGAATTATTTTGGAAAATATATTTCAGATTTAATCTGAAATTCAGCTGCAGCTTTGCTCCTTTACCTGGAGAACACAACATGAGCTAATCTCTCATTTTAATGCACTGCAGGATTAAAAATACATACATAAAAAATCACACTAATTAATGAACATTTTCATTTTAATGGCAGATTTAGAATGTAGTTTAAAATGTGCAGCCTGTATAACTGAGCACAGATGAGGCCTGTGTTGGCCCCTGAGTCGTTCTAAACCTTAACTTAGATGTTTGTGCCTCTGATCAGTTCGTCTCCTCTGAGGGAGAAAGTTTCTCTCTGATCAATATTTAATCACAGAGTCAACACGCGGCTGATAGCAGCTGGATGGACGCACCTCGGTGTCTCCGTAGTAGTAGCTGCTGCTCCAGTCCGGGTGCTCGTGTCCCTCCATCTTAACGGCGCTCAGCATCGTGCACGATCCGCCACCGATTCATCCAAACGGCGTCACAGCAGGCGGGAAAACAGACACAACACCCGCCTGTCCGCCGGTAACGGGCCGGAGGATCCTGGCTGTTTGTCTCCGGGTCTGACTGAGTGACAGCTGACTGACTGACTAGTGAGGGAGGCGGACTGAGGCTCTGAGCGGCTCCTCCACCTGCTGCAGAGCTGCTGTCCAATCAGCGGCCCGCCTCGGCCGCCACGGCCGGGCCAACATCCGGGAACCCCGGGGCTGGATGTGAGGATGGGCCCCTGAGCCTCAGCGTGTAGGACAGGGTCAGGAGGCAACTAAAACAAAGATGTAGTTATTTAAGTTTCAGGTAGGAGCTGTTCAGATGTAAATATTTGATATGATGAAATAAAAAGAAAAAACTTAGACTTAGCCTGACTTTATTAATCCTAGAGGGAAATCCAGGTGTTACAGCAGCATGGCTACTCAACAAAGGGGGTAAACAAGGCAAAAGACAACACAGAATATTATGGTAGGGCATAAAATGAAGGTAAAATAAAATAAAATATAGAAAATATCACATAGAAGAAAGTCAACAAAATTTCCAAGAATGTATAAGAGAGATACAGAAATGTGCAAATGAACAGAATGTGCAAAAAATAATGTGCTATTATATGATAAAATAATACACTGCTCAGATTGATGTATTAAAGAGTCTTATTGCTGCAAGGATGTCAGAAAAAAAGACAATTAAAAATGGTGAACTTTCCCAAATTGTAACAGCAAACAGCTAAAACAATGAGTTTTAGTCCAACAAGTGGAGCGAAAAAAAAAAGTAATTTTACCATCGAACACTGCAGAGAACGATATACTATTTATATAAACATGGCTTCTTCTTTTCTCTGACACTATTTAAAATTTTGGCCTGTGTTTTTGTTTGTTTGTTTGTTTGTTTTGCAGTTAACTAGTTATTATATTTAATTTAACAAAACAAAATCTGTAAAATTACAGGGAGAAACTGACCAAAAAAATTTAAAATAAATGAATAAATAGAGTTGTTTACCGGTTTTCTGTGATTGTAAACTTAAAAAACTGGACGGCTGGATTGTTGATCAGATCTTTAAAAAAGAAAACATCTGAATATTTGGCTTCAAGGGAAAAATGAGCTTTTTTCACCTTTTGTAGACTTTAAACACTAAACTATTAATGAAAATAAGTGCCAAGGTATTAATAACAAAAACAAAGCCTTAAGAGGTGCACAGTTGTACATTTATAGGTTTAAATAACTTGTTTATCACTATGAAAACAGAAGAGGTTAAACACCCAATTTTCTTTGAAAAGCAATAATTTGCCCTTAATTTTCACACAGTGAACCTGAAAAAATAAAACTTTTGCACTTCCTAGTTTGCACCCATTATTATTATTTTCAAAGTGAACCATATTTCAGTTTGATATGTAAAAGCAAAAAAAAAGGTTTCAGGGGGATTGGAAGACATTTTTATCAATTGCAAAAAAAAAAAACAATAGCACTTATAAATTTGTTTATTTTACATATTTCTATATTTTAGACCTCAGTTTAATCTAATGAGAAACTTGTTTCACATGTACATAAACAGTGGACACCAGCGTTCACACAGCAGGGGGCGTTGCAGAAAGAGGTTAAATAGATGCATGTTGCTGGTATGCAGAAAGGGACTTTCTAGGCTCCTGGGGGTTTGGTTACATGAGCAGGTGTCTGATTGGTCATCTGATGATGCAGCTTTCCCACTTCTCTTCATCCCTCAAGCTCACGTTCAGATTTAAATATTACATCATTGGATGTCATCAGCTGCAGGGTGGCTCAGTGGTTAGCATTGTTGTCTCGCAGCAAGAAGGTCGCTGGTTCACGTCCCGATGAGGACACCTGGGATCTTTCTGTGTGGAGTTTGTATGTCCTCGTGGGTTCTCCCCGGGTTCTCCAGCTTCCTCCACAGTTCAAAAACATGTTGAGGTTAAATGGTGATTCTAAATTGTCCGTAGGTGTGAATGTGAGTGTGCTTGGTTGTCTGTCTCTAAGTGTAGCCCTGTGATAGACTGGTGACCTGTCCAGGGTGTCTCCTGCCTTCACCCTGAGTCAGCTGGGATAGACTCCAGCCCCCCATGACCCTAGTGAGGATTAAACGGTGTATAGATGATGGATGGATGGATCATTGGAGGCCTATCAGACCCTCAGCCATACCAATCTCTGTACTAAATTCTCTGGACTGTTTACCAAAGTATCTAGAAACATACACAAATGCAGACGTTAAACACAAAAATCAACCCACTCCACTACACTAATAAACATTTCTGTTCCTCCTGCAGCACATCAACTATCTGCTTTCATGATGAGGTTCACGGTGCAGCAGAGAAGAGACAGAAAACAGAGTTGGTGTAATAATAATGACAATAATAATAATAATGATGATGGTAGGAAAACATCCAAGCTTAAAAAAATTTGATGATAGTTTCATAAACCTCTCATCAGAACAATGTCAGGGGGGTCCTCACCCTTCAACATTTATCTCAGTCTCCCTCATTAAAAGGAGCTTGTTGGTTCTAAGAGTACACAGTGGTGGAGGAGGTATTCAGATACTTTTCTTCAGTACTGACACAGAGCTGTAAAAGTACTCCCAAAATACTGCTGTTTAAATAAAGTATGTGGTACTGAAAGTTATCACTGGTGCATTTATGTGTGAGCAGCATTTTGTTGATGGAGCCGATGTTTGTTGTATATGACTGCAACTGATGATTATCTTCTTAATGGATAAAACAGGAATATTTTCTCCATCAACTGATTAGTGGATTGATGTGTGGAAATTCAGACAGAGCTGAGAAATGCAGTTGATGTCACCCAGAGCTCAAAGCAGCACCGTAACAAGCTTACAAATGATCATAAATAGATTCAAAGAAAAGGCAGCGAATCCTCACATTTAAGAAGCTGCACTCATGGCATGCAGTTTTGTTTCTTTCTACATGATGATCAAAGTGGCTGAACTCATTCTGCTGCTTGTTTTTTATCGTCGAATAGTTTGATTTACAGGAAAGCATCACATTGTTTAGCCACTCGTATGTTTTGTTTGCAAAAATCTTAATTTCATGAAGTAATAAGAGCAATATTTCCCCGTGATCATGTAGTGAAGTTGAAGGTATAGCAGTGCCAGCATCCAACATTCAGGAACAGCTCCTCAAAACTGCACTGTAAAATTTTCGGGTGTAAATTTATAGTAAATTACTGGCTACTAATTGCATTACTTTCACAGTAATTTAGTAAAGAGTCTTCTGGATGTGAGCAGGTGAAATCCAGCCGACACAAGATCCAATGATTCTTGTGTGAGCATCAAATATACAGACCAGTGTGTGATGATTTTCAAAGTGTTTCTATCAGAGTCTCAGGCAGAGTGGAGGCTGCCTGGGATCTTCCTCCTCCTCCTCCTCAGCTGCACCCTTTACTGTTTGTGGTCTGACAGTGTGTGTTTACCTGGTGGTGAATCTGAAAGGAAGGACGGCCGGGACAAGTCGGACCACCATGCTCTCTGCACACACTCCGCTTGTTTTCCCTCCTGCGGACGTCAAACAGCCACAAATATTTCTCCTGTTTGTGGGTCACACAGTGCGACTGTCAGGAGGCCGGAAGATTTGTTAAAGCTGCAACTTAGTGAAGAATTGAACTCACCTGCAGAGGATCATTAGAGGTATTTACAAGCCAGATGTTATCTTCAGAAGAAATAAGGAGTCATCTCAAAGGAGCTCTTTCGTGAAATGTAAGACAGAAAAGGTAAAAATTATTTTAAAGGGCAGAACAGAAAAATCCAGACTGGAATTTAAAGTGAAACTGCTGTCATAAAGGTGGAATAAAGGAATAAGTTTCTGGGGTTCTGGGGATAGTGGGCCTGCTCAAAGCACCATATTAGTTTTCTTTTTAAATGATGCAATTTTTGACATATTTAGGACACAAATTCAACTACGTGAAGAGTTATTAAACAAAATTCTGGGTTTTTAAAACATTGTTAGTTGATTCAGTCATGGCAAACTATGGTTAGATCTGGAACATGAATGTATGCTAAAGGCACAAACTGGCTAAATGGGCTAGATGCTAACAAAAGAGTGCAAATATGGAATAGAAAGACAACTCCAGTGGTGCAAAATACAAGTATAAAAAGACAAATAAGAATATTAATACATAGATATAGATATAAATATGGTGACAATGAGAACGCTAAAGTCATAGAATGTATATAAAGATGGACGTAGCCTCAAGGTCTAAAGGTCATTCTTTCTTAGAGCCAGCAGGGGGCGACTGTGCAGGTTGTAAAAAGATGTCCGATTGTATAGACGTCTATTAGAAAATGGCCCTACTTCCAACCAGATGTTTTATCTCACTTAATGTTTTCCTGATCACTTTATGGTCTCAGTTGCTAGTTTCAGAACTTTTTGAAAACAGCATGATGTTCATTTTGTAAATTGTGGTGTCATTTAAAGTAAAACAAAGTATAAAGCAGGGTATGCTATCTCTCCCTCAGTACATCTGCTTTTTCACAGCCAAATTCCAAACTTCAAAACATCAGTCCACAAACCATCACAGTCGCTACGTCCGTCTTTTATATGCAGTCTCTGGTTAAGACACGCTGCGGTTACACTTATTAAGACTTCTGCATGTGTTTTCACCACACAGATGTCACCATCATACTGTCTAAAGTGTGAAAGCAAAATATAATCACATGACATTTCCAGGTGTTTATACCGGTAATTCTTTAGAATTTCATTATTTAAGTTAATGGGACGTGGGCTCAGATAAGAAGCATGAAAATAGATCGATTAACCAAAAACGTTTTTATTTTGCTTCAGTCATTCTTTCAGCAAATATTTCAAAATGTTACTAGTTTTTGCAACAAAATTGGAAGATTTCTGTTATATATGATGGCAAATGACACATATTTGAGTTTGGGACTGATGAGCGGACAAAAGAAAAATAAATCGCAGGTGAGAGACGATATTTGACATTTTTAGAAATTGAAGACATTTGTAATACTGTTGAAGGCCTTGGGATTGAATTACATTTTAAAGACTTTTCCAGACGTGCAGATGGTCTGCTTTGTATTAATCTTTTAGTCAGAAGACTTCTTTCAAAATCCTCCAAAAAAAAAGATGTTTTTGTGACTGAGAATAACAAACTGCTCCGAGTTTAGACCTGTAAGAGCTGAGAACAACTGTGAGACCATCCACACACTCACAGAGTAAAGACCAATAGTCAGACTTATTTATTTATGTATTTTTATTTATTTATTTATTTTTTTGTATAATCTGTACTCTTGCTTTGAATGTTATTCTGTCAAAATCACAGTGTGTAGTTAAAGGAAATTGTATGTATGTTGCTTTGTTGCACATTGTGACTATACTGACATCTGCCGGTGAATCACCGAAACTACAGCAGCATTACAATTCTTCTGTTTCTTTTTTCTTTCTTTTAAACCCATAATTAGAATAAAATAAATAAATAAATGCAGCTGCTGAATCTGTTCCATAGTTGTTGTTTTTTTAAAAATGTAGTCTGTTTCACAATTTAAACAATGAACCTGTGAAGACAACTGAGGAAGACGTCTGTGAGGTGACATTTAGGATAAAATGTCTTCATATATATTTTAAAATAAAAGTAAAAATAAATCTTCTGCACCACCTGCTCTGGTGGGTGAATCTGTTACCGGGTTAACAACTTACATTTTGAGATATTACCCAAACAATTAGTTAATTAATAGATTTGCATTTTCTGTTTGGTGACAGTTTATGTATACAGTTTAGTTTTACGATTAAACAGTGTTCCTGAAAAAGTATTATTATTATTGTTGTTGTTATTGGTGTTAGCAGTAGCAGTAGTATTGCTAGTATAAAACAGCGTTACTATTTGTTTAAGTATACGTTTCTTAAGAAAAAAAAAAGTCGATACGTTTTCTATGTGGTTTGTACCTCCGAGCTTCCGTACGTTGAGGTAGCAGTTAGCCTGTTAGCTGTGATTGTACAACACAAGGACAACTGACCTGCCACCTGCGAACATTTCACAGTTTTAAGGCAGTTTCGGTCGTTATTCTGTTTTTTTCTTCTACCACAGACCTAAAGGTGAGTTAACTTCAGATTAGAGAACGTAAACTGGAGGTTAAACAGATTTAATGTGACAACTTCACCTTTAAATGAAGGCTAAATGTGTTTGCTAGCTTAATAAGGTGTCGCTTCTTGCCTCAAGATTATAATATAAAGCTGTCATTTCTAAAATAGACTCCTGCAGTTATAGAAACTTTAGGCTGTAAGTTTAGGCTGAAACCTTAATTCAAACGACACAATGCTGTAAATGACGAGAGAGAGAAGAGAAGAGGCTGCTGACATGCTGGATGCTGGTGTGTCAGGTCATTTTGCAGCCAGGCGCTTTAATGTCCACATTTGTAGTCTTAACAAATCAGACAGCTTTGGACCATCGTGTCCAACAACGTGATCCTGGGAAAACACAAGCAGCTAAAGCAACCTCTATGTATGGCACTACTACATGATGTAAGTGGTTGTGATACAATACAACAGGCTGCCTTCATGTTAGCTCAGTGCATGCACACTGCTATTGTCTATGCATCTGCAGCACTTGATGCTTTTGAAGATTCTCGTGGTCAAATGATTGCATATTTTGTGCCTGTACTCCTGTTGAAAGTTAACTCTTATCTTCCCAAACAAGTAGATTTTCATAATGTACTCATATTAAATCAGTCAAAGGAAGGAAGGAAGACAAACTTTACCTGTGACAGCTTGCATCCCTGTTAGTCTACATAAAGTTGTGTTTCTGTGTGTTGATCTTTCTGCAGATGCCTCCCAAATCTATGGAGCCTCTGGCCAAAAGACTCATGAGGGGAGTGATCGCTCTGGAGCTGGTGGGTGTCTTCGGGGCGTACGGTCTGTTTCACGCGATGAACAACAGTCAAGGTATCAGCTTGATATTAGGAAGCAGTCATCAGTGTCAGACACAGGCTGTGGAGCTGCTGGAATGAAGCAAAGTGATTCAACATCTGATTTATTTCCTCCTGCAGATTTCAGAAACACCATGAACAAGAGATTCCCATCGATTCTGGAAGGTAATCAGATGAACTTATTTATCCTCCTGGAATAGTTTCTGACTTAAAGGTTACAGCATTACGACAGTTTTTACCAATTACATTTTCATGAGGGTTTATCAGGAGTCCAGGTTAAAGCTGCTGTTGTAACTACTTAGAATTGGACACCAGGTTTATTTACATGTAGCAGCTGCTTAGACTGATTTTGTTAATCACAAATAACTTTGAGAACTTTAAGCTGCTTGTTTAACTAAAGTACCCCAGGATGCTGTTCCCTGTGTAATTGTTAGATATCTAAAACTTAATTCATGAAGTTTTACTGTTGCACCCACTGATCCACCGACTCTCAGATCTAATCTGGAAAAATCTGAATTTCACACTAAGATTGTAAATAGGGGGCTGCAAGGTGGCTCAGTGGTTAGCACTGTTGTCTCGCAGCAAGAAGGTCGCCCCGGTGAGGACACCCAGGATCTTTCTGTGTGGAGTTTGCATGTTCTCCCCGTGCAGTGTGGGTTCTCTCCGGGTTCTCTGGCTTCCTCCCACAAGGTTCAAAAACATGTTGAGGTTAATTGGTGATTCTAAATTGTCCGTAGGTGTGAATGTGAGTGTGCTTGGTTGTCTGTCTCTAAGTGTAGCCCTGTGATGGACTGGTGACCTGTCCAGGGTGTCCCCTGCCTTCACCCTGAGTGGATGGATGGATTGTAAATAGGTGGATTTTAGTTAAAACTACTTCCTAAAAATCAAAACTTGCCTGGCTGATCTGTTTTTAGTTAATTAAAATTACATATTTTGGTGGAACCAAAAAAACAAAGAGTTTTACATTTGTTCAAACTAAAACAATCTATCATATTAATCTGGTGTTTTCAGAGGTTACGTCTGTAGAAAACTGTATCAGGATCAGAAAACATTAGCTTTAATGTGAATACACATCTTTATCAAACACAGGGGCAGTGTGAATATGAACTTATTAGAATGAATTTATTAAAGAAATTCTGCTGGTTTTGTATTAAATTGGGAAATTTGTCTTTGATCTTCTACAGACACAAACCTGTCACCATGACAACACGCTGTCCAGCATAAGAGTCTTAAATTTTTACAAAACTGAAACGCGGCTCGTCTTCAGATCAGACATTTCCTTCTCATTAAACAGAGAAGAGGTACTATCAGTGTGCAGCTTTAATCAGCTGACAGACTGGATTTGAAAACCAGTTTCTGTTTGTCTGCTTCCGTTTCCTCTCAGTTTACTACAAGTCCAACGAGTGGGCGGGCATCCCCGGCATCCGAGAGAGAGACCACGAAGCCTGGACAGCCAAACAGGAGTGAAAATGTCCATCAGTGAAAAGTCCACATCATCAGCTACTACTTCTTCTTCTTCTTGTTCCCAAACGTCCTGCCTGCCGTCCTGGCTCGGCCGAACATCGGCTTCTTCTTGTTGAACATGGTCTTCTTCCTGCGCAGCGTTTTGACATCGCGGTCGTGGATCCAGTCGTCGCGCTGAGACTCCCACTTCAGCTGCTTCAGACCTGCGAGACAAGACAGGAACAAGACCTGAGTGGCTGCACAGCATTTTATTCATGTGATGGAACAAAACCTCAGAGGGGCGTTTTGGAATGTTTTTAATCACTCTGTCTAATTACAACACGGCCATTTCCACAGGAAGAGGGCGGTCTTACTTAGACTGGAATCAAGTTAAACAGGGATCTCTGGACAGGAGGAATAGCAACAACAAACAATAACCTGTTTCGATACACATATGTGAAAATTCCAAACAGTTGAATGTTTCTGGAAACATGTTGGATTTGTTTTAGACGATGCTAGATGGGGCCTTGAGATGGTTCAGCAGTGAGTGTTTGAGGGTGACTATGACTGATGTGAGTGGTTTTCTCTCTGTGGAGAAGTTATTAAACGTGGCTGGTATCCAGCAAATTCACTGAAAACCTTTCTGTGTCTACTTTTTCTTTACACTGTGTTGCTCAAAGCTTAGTTATTGTTGCTGTATAAAGACCCGACACACTGTATAGTAGTGATGGGTCCAGAAACACCGATGTATCAGCGCATGTGTCGAGCTCATGAAGCGAAACCCCGTGTCGGTGCGCGTGTCGCTTCAAGAAAGTCACGTGACCGATACAGCTGCTGTTTCGTCTGTCACTGAGGCGCCAAATTGTTTATAAGGACGCGCATCTGTCAACGGGATGCATCTCTGCCCAAAGGATCACAGATCTTTTGAAGCGCAATTCCAAGCTATTATGGAGGCTGAAAGAAAAAGAAAGGTTCCCGCCGTGTGGGACCATTTTGATCTTCTATCAGCAAATAAGGTATTTGGTTTTATTTCCTTGTTGTTTAATCCTGTTCCTGGAGAACTTGCATCAAAAACAATGTATTCGCATCAATGCCAAGACATTGGAACACTTGATTTTTTGGAATAAAAACTTCTATTAAGAAAAAAGCCTTCCTTGCCTCAAAGACGAGTACACAAGCATCCTCACATCCACACTTTCACTTTGATTTTCACGTTAAGACACATGTTCATGTTATTTATTGACTGTATATCTTAAAAGATGTTAAATATATTTTAAACTAAATTAAGATATAAAATAATGCAATATAAAATACAATAGCTTAAATTATAATATTGTTTATACTAGGTCATTAAATCAGTATGTCAGATGAGTCTGTCAACTAGGTTGCCTGTAATGATTTATAAGATCCAGCAGGTGTCAGTATTGAGCAACACTGACAGAATTCTTCACATTCAGTTGCGCCCTTTTGGATGTCAAGAGTCATCTCAGGAGTTTCAGTGGCCTCATGCTAAATTTCAGGAGTCACATCTGATGCTATCAGACTTGCTTTAAGTCTGTAACTGGTCACCTTCAGTTTTTGTTTCCTCGTTCATACCCTCAACAAGAAGTGCTAATACAAAAGCTGTATGTATTACCTGCTTTGTCTCTGTTGGCCATGGCGTTCAGCCCGATGTTGTCAAACTTGGAGCCCGCGTTCTCATCCAGCAGAGAGCCAAACTGAAAAACAAAGAATAAAGCTTCACATCCGACACAGTTTGAAACTCTTACTCTGAATGACGAAATTTAATTCTGAGGTAAAACCAACACACAACATCTACATAGAACATCTTTCAATGATCAGTTTTTTATTCCAGTTGCTAGAATAACAAAATGAATCAAAAAGGTAGAGAGGTAATAAAGTGGCAGCCAATGACAGGCTGCTGTAGTCACTCAAACATTTATCAGGACGTCTGCAAATCCGTACAGTCTGAAATGTATTCATGCAAAACGAAGGCCTTTAAACAGATTGTAGGCAGTTTCCCCTGAACAACTCACCTCTTCAGCAGAAGCAAACATGGCTGCATTTGTCTTTTCTTTCTTCTTCTTCTTTCCCTGTTTGGAACCTGACAGAACAAGCAGCCATCAACCTTCTGACCAATGCAGCAGCTGCAACATGAGCTTTCATAAAGCTCTGCTCATGAAAACCCAACATTATCAATAAAAGCTGAATAAAGAACTGTTCTCACCTAAAGATCCAGAGAAGTCGAGCTCCTCTGAGGATTTCCTTTTTCCCTTCTTGGTCCGAGGAGTGATGTCTGGAGCTTCCATGTCGTCATCATCTGAATCTGCAGCGAATAAATGTTTGTAACAGTTTGATTTAATTTTTTAGTGCAGAAATAAACTGACAACTACTGAAAAAAGTATGTTGATGTTAAAAGTAGTTCTACAAATACAGGCGTGACTTGATAATCTGACCCTTAACAATCTTAAACCTTGCTATTCGACAGGTTTTTAGGAAAAAAAAAAAAAAAAAGGGAACCCATGAAAATTAGCCTTTAACATACTGACAGCCTTGGATTCTGACTCCAACCTGACATTTTATGTCACAAATCAGGATAACGGTGTATTATCTGACAGATTGGCTACGTTCAGACTGCAGGACTTAATGCTCAAATTGGATTTTTTTTGTGAAATACGATTTTTTTTTGCGAGTTCGTGCACATTTCCAATTAAATACGACTTGTATGTGATCTGCTGTGTGAACTTCATACGACCCAAAAGTGTCTCGCATGCACAGAAGAGGACACGATGACGTCACACGCTGCGAGCATGCTCAGTGTTTACGGAAGTAAACATGGATGATGGAAACACAACTGTGACCGCTAACTAGACTGGCATCAGCAGCCAAGTACTGCCTGTGCGTTCCGGCCACTTCCACCCCATCAGAGCGCTCCCCCAGGGTGGAAGTGGTCCCCCGACTGCACTGAATATTCTGGTATTCATCATTAATTGAGATCAGAAAGTGCTATGCGGACCAGCCCTACTAGTTATTAAAACAACTACAAACAATGAATATTAACAACAAACGACCCTTCAGGCATCAAGCCCTCCTTGTATCTCGACCTCAGTCTTGACAATCCGACAGCCTTGCTATCCGACATCAAAAAAGGTTTTACATTTAGTGTCCGATTATCGAGTCACGACTGTACTACGAGAAAAACCTACTACTACTTTCAACACGTTTCACTTCTAACGGAGCGTTTTTTCATTGCAGAGCTGTTACTTTCTGAACCTGCAAACTTCCTCTGCAACTTTCCAACTCACTCACTCTTTCAGTGGTGGTGATCTCACATATAAAAATGTTTCTGGCTTAACAGAATCCAACTATGATGGAGGTCTTCGTGTGTGAGCTCGTACTAACCTCCAAACGCAGCAGCAGCAGCATCACCATCATCATCATCATCCTCCAGCTCTGGAACTAAAAGAACAAGAGACAGATTGACTCAGTCACTTAACCTGGACCACACAACGTACAAGAATACGGACCAAACCACATGAACACAGTCACAATAATATCATCTGAACTCAAATCTATGTAGGAAAACAAGATTTTGAATTTGAAAGCATATTAATTGATCTCTACATTATACACAATTAACAAAATACCCATTTGTTAAATAAGGTGTGATCATGATTTGAACTTTTTCATTTTCTCTACCTTCGTCATCATCATCATCATCATCTCCACCTCCGTCAGGATCCATGAACGCCCCTCCTTCATCGTCCAGTTCGTCTCCAAAGTCTTCCTCGTCCATGCTGCCCAGAGACACCTCCTCGTCATCCAGGTCGTCCACGTCCGAGTCGTCCTCGTCCGAGTCCTCTGCAGCTTTCTTACCTTGTTTGCTCTTCACATTACTGACACACAAACATTGAGGAAGGAGAGGACTTAGTCAAAACATTGCGATCAAATGTCAAAGTTTGTAAAGCTTATTTTACACAGAACAAAGTGTAGACGTGTGAGGACCAGTAGCACTGAAGAATGTAGAATAACCTCCTCAGCAGCAGTTTTCCTGTTTGTAGTCAGAGAAACTGAGCTGCAGAAAATGTAGCGTTATTCTTTTTTTTTTTAACAAATTAGCCACGAAGGATTTACACAAAACCCAACCCTGTGGTCTTAATGTAACACATTTCTATTTTGTGAACACACACTCAGCAGGTGCAGACAAGTATGAGAAAATGATTTAATGTTGATCACGTCTGAAGACACAAAAGGAGGTAGAACTGAAGTCATTTCCGTTGAGTTAGTTGAAGAAAATGCTGTTCAAGGTTCATGAAAACTTTGCTCACAAAATACATGAAAGACACCAATTTGAGTCTGAATAAAACTAATGTAAATATCCTGTGCTTCTGAACAATTAAGAGCAAAGAACTCACTGGGGGTTTGCTGAAATTAGAAGATAACTATGAAAATTATTGATGGATTAGGATGAGAAGACTGTGAGTAGATGACATATGTGGCCAACAGCATATCTAACAATGTGTTGTGTATTTATTTTTTTATTATTTGTTCTCACCCTGGTGAAGGAGACGAAAACATTTGGTGAATGAAGTGTGCAGCACAAGAGAAGAGCTGTGAGACGTCTTTCATATTAGGTGGTGTTGATTAGGGCAGGGTGACACGGCCAAAAATATTTATCACGACATAAATGAGAAAATTTGCGATAACGATATAGCTGACGATATAACTGACGCTAGACAAAATACTTCAAAACGGCACAACTTTGTTGGTGCAAATAAAAAAACAGAACCATTTCTTTTCCATTTCCAGCTGTTTTTGATGTGCATTAAAGCTATATTGTACCAAAACCAATAGTGCATCCTCGGTCGCCGCCATGCTTCTCGCTCCATGTGTGTTAGACCGGATGAAAACAACGGCCCTGCACGTTTCACTTAAATTTTATCGCAATATTTCACTTTCATATCATCCCCTAACATTACACCGGTATTACTGTGCACGGTATGATGTGACCCAGCTCTAGAATTAATGTAACAAAAAATAAAAGTAAAAACAATCATGCTGCTTGTAACAAACTGAAAACTGGTCCACTCACCCTGCAAAGTCCAGATCATCAACCCCCAGGTCAGTGAAGTAAGAGTCTCCCTCACAGGAATCTGTTCAAAGCAAAGTCAAACATCAGTATAGATTAAGTTCACTGTTGTTTAAGGCTAAAAATAAAAGTGACTCCTTAATTACCTGTTTTCTCCTTTAACCACTTACTGTGAGATTTATTTTTGTAATTCATCTTTTTTCTTCTGTACCAGTGCAAAGAAGTCTGAAACTTGGTTGTGGACAGAAGGCGGGACAACCAGGAACGATTTATAGGAATTAGAAATCATATTTTGGGTGACATCAAATCTGATTTTAGTTTAGTTTTAAAACAACTGTATTAATTGTTCTCCATTTTCAATTGAATTAATAAATGAAGTACTTGATGCCTTCTTCAGTTTAACCCAGTAACTGTGGTTCTGTGCTGTTTGCATGAGAAGTTATTCTAAATAGAAAAAAGTCAAATCAGACAGAAACGGGCCTCAAACTGCCGTCTCTAACCTTTATGTCAGAGTTGATTGATTTAAAATCATCGGCAGATTTCAGTAGTGCATGTGGTTCAACCCACAGAACAATAAAACTAGATTCTCTGCATCCATCTTTGTGTCTCGACTCACCGAGAAGTTTCTCAAACTCGTCATCATCCACGTCCTCCAGGCTCTCATCGTCGCCGTCTCTTCGCGGTCGACGAGTCTGTTTCTCCTGCTCGTGCTTCTTGAAGTAGCTGATGAGCAAAAAAAATAACCCAAAAAACAGATGATCAAGATTATAAAATGTATAATAAAACAAATGTTATTTGATTTTAAATTTGGGAATAAATGCTGAATTTTATCCTTCATTTTCTTGTTTAAAAGAAAAAAAGTGACTCACCGATAGAAGAAGACTTCATCCACAGGAATCTGACTTTCGTCTTTAGCAAGAAACTCTGCACAGTTCACTGACAAGAAAGAGGAAAGTGTATTGTTGTCAGACGACACTCAACTGACGTCAGAAACAGGAGGAAAGACTGACTGTTCCTTGAAACTCACCTGGTAAAGAGTTGGCAGGTAATCTCTGTTTGGGCATCATCGCTGCAGAATCAGTGTTTTCTGAGGAGTAAAAATAGTGAAAGAGATTATTGACTTTTTATTGTTTCATAACTGGATCTGTAGATTTACCAGATGTTCAAATTATTCTGTAGCTGAACATGAACAAACACTGTAATTACTGTTAGAATATGCAAAGTCAGTGGTTTCAAACAGGAGTCTCTTTACTGTCTTTTTGGATCTATTTGTATTTATTTTGCATCTCTTTTTCATCATTTTGCAGATCTTTCTGCTCGTTTGAGTCTCTGCTTTGTAGCATCATCTTCTAGTCTGTCTGAGTCTATCAGAGGCCATTTGTGTCTCTTTACATTTTTCATCTAGTTGAGTTTATGTTGCATCATTATTATCAACATATGAACATGTAGTAAACACACATGTATATACCGGGCAGAAATATATGCGATATACTTCAATAATGAATATGGAATGGAGTTTGGGTATATTACGTTTTCCTTTCAGTTGTTTGGGGTTTCTGAAGACGAACCGATCCAAGAACCTGATGAGGGTGAAGTCCTGCAGAGGGTCACCTGAGTACTGGATGGAGTCTCCCTGTGGAAACACAAAAATATTAAAATGTTTACAGAACAAACAAGATGCACGTTTACCTCTAAAAAGAACAAAAACATGACATGAGAGCTGCTGTTTTACCTGCAGGATGGTTTTTGCAAACAGCGACACTGAGGGGTGGAAGTGGAGCGCCAGCTGCAGAGAAACAAACCAGCAGACAGTCCAGATGGGTTTGAAACTTTGAAAAGACTTCATCTCTGCTGACAAACTCCAAACTCAGCTTACTCACTTCATATTGACAGAGAACCAACTTCTAGTTGTTTGTTTGTTTAAATCAAAAATGCTCCTGTTTCTGTTGTTTGTATTGTCCAAAGCTTGGAACATGTAAGATGCTACAGAAATAAAATCATTATCATTATTATTTTGTCTTCACATTTAATCCTGTTTTTTTTTTTTTTTATCTCATTACACTTCAGGACTATTTAAGATACATTTTTCATTTAAGTCATTATTTTAAAAATCTTGAAATTTATAAAGCATACTAAAAAACTTATACAGAATTATTCAGCTAATCAGCCTGTTACATACTCAGACACTGATTTCATTATTGAGTATTGTCACAGGAATATTAGTGAATTGTGGTTGTTCCCATGTGACTCTGTGTTTTAAGTATTTAGTGTTTTACTCTCTGGTAAACGAGACAATTTATTTTAAGACAAAATACAGTTAAGTAATTATAAAATATAGATCACATAATAAAGTATGAATG